TCTTTTCTATGTTTGTATGTGAAGCCACAGGGACTTTATTAGAAAATTAATGGTTGTGGTCTTTCATTCCTTAGAAAGGTAAAGAGGCTGAGGCTAACACACACACACACACTCTCTCTCTCTCACACACACACCCACACACAGACCTCATATTACCCCGACGCACCAACATCATTACTTATTTTTCCTGTGTTCGACGTCTGTCAGTGTAAAATATTAGTCGACACCAGGAGCTCGTTGCTCGTAGAATACTGCAGTAGTAGTACTACTAGTTGTAGTACTGCAACAAATACTGGAATCTTCTTTTTCAAGAACTATTGTTTTTTCACAGGATTCTTAAGAAATACTGTGAAGGAAAGGATTTTTTATTTGGTGTTTTTTTTTTGCTTGGGAAGTTGACAGACCATCGACTGACCATCGACTGACCATCGACCGACCATCGACAGACCATCGACAGACCATCACATCATTCACACTCACATTCACACCTGTGGTCAAACTAGTGTGAATAGTTACCCTAATCCTGCATGAAGCTAGAGCGCGTGGACTCCATACACAGTGACCGTCTGGGTGTAAAAAGAAGAAAAAAAAAAAGATCTTTGTAAAAATGCAGCTGGAAACAAATGAAGAGCCTGAAATGATAAAGGTCTAAAACAGCAGCAGATTAGATTTACAACAACCTGATTTGGTGCAGCAAGAAAAAAAAAAAAAAGAAAAAAAAAAACCTTCTGTCTGATGAAGTGTAATTTGATTTCATACCATGAAGCCAGAGAGTCCAGGACGTTAGTAAAGGTCGGTCATGTGACCGCACAGACCAGGCATGTCTTCACTTCCTCTGGAAGAACAACAGAAAAATAAATGTTGCATTTATTTTATAAAGTTTGCACTTAGTCCACATTATGTTTCCTTCAAACTGAACAAATAACGTGTTCCAGATCGGGTGGATGGAAATTAAATTTACCGCCTGTTACTTTTAAAGTGCTTTCCATTTTCATCCGTTCTAATACCTGGATAATTAAAGTAAATCAATTTATGGAAAAAAAAAAAAAAAACAGAATGCAAAAAACAAACAAACAAAGAGATGAAAATAAAACAGAACGAATAGAAAATAACTGGATTAACTGACGACACTGTTTCCAGATGAAGATTTTCAACCTCCTGTGATGAAGATGAGGACAAACAGAAGACAGAGTCAAGCTTTTCAAAACGAAACACTTCAATTTTTAAACCTGAAGATTTCAGTCCTCAGGTATAAAAAGGTCATGACCCTGGTGTCACAGGTCATCCTCAAGATTCTACAGAGAAGGAATTCTCTGACGGAAACGACACTGAAGAAGAAGAGCAGAGTGAGACACGGAGGAGACGCAGGGACAGACAGAGGACAGACAGAGAGTCTGTCTGTGACAACGTGACCTTTCATCTAAAAAATGAAATGTTCAACAAGTATTTAATATAAATATAGTACATATATAATTAGATACTGACCTTGTTTCATCGTTTTGTATTTCATATTTTATCCATTCCTTATTTTAACCCAAATATATGAAACATTAATAACAATGAACATAAACAGAAAGGAAAACATATTTATACATATTTTATTGATTAGATTCTTTTTGACTTACCCTCAGACACACGTTGTTTGTCAGTGGAGGCGTGAGAACCAGGTCAGGCTCCTGAGAAGATCTGAGAGGAAGAGAAGAAGAAGGAAATGAAGTGATGAAGACGAAGACGAAGACAAAGACGAAGACGCCTCAGCTTCACATCTGACTTCTTACCTGACGTCTGGTCATGTGTCTGTCTTCTCCTCATCCTTGGTCCAAATCCCAGCATGCATTGGGTGAGGGTTACAGCCTAGACAGTTCACACCAACAGTCAGTTTGAACAGTTCAACATATTTTTTTGGAGTGTTTAATGAGTGAAGCAGCAGACGCAGCGACGTGTTATTATTTAACCTTTATTAAATAATAATAATAATAATAATAACATTAAAAAAAGAAATTCTTCTGTACAAAGTCTACAAACAACAGTTTGAGTGAAGTGGCCAGTGCTGTGGTTCTCTTCTAATGTAGAATGTGTCGGCGCGGGCGCGTGTGTGTGTGTGTGAGAGAGAGAGAGACAGAAGAGGTAATACTTCACTTCCATTAGGAAAGATTAAAGTTGAGAAAGAGAGAGAGAGAGAGAGACACCGTGTGTGTGTGTGCGTCCAGAAAACTGAAACAGAGCAGAAAGTGTTGCAGGAGGGACGTAATCAGAGGCTCCAAGGCACTTGGAAAAAAAGTCCAACGAAA